TTGCTCTCTCCTTCTTGGGACGCTCGCCTTTGGAACCCAGCTATCATGTTAAGAAGAAGCCCAGAGAGCATGGAAAGGCCATGTATAGGTGTTCATGGCAGCAGCTCCCGATAAAGTGTCAGCCAGCAGCCAGCAGCCAGCAGCCAGCATCAACATGTGAGAGAATGAGCCTTTAGGTGCGCCCAGGCCTGCAGTATGGTCTGCGAGTTCTTTGTGGCCTTTGCAGTGAATTGTTGAACCCAGCAGAGAAATAGAGAGTGCTGTGGGAGGGATGGTCAGTGTCAGAATTGGTAAAAAAATTAGAGAGTGGAGGTATGTCTGATCTCTACCTCAAAGGAATCAGCTTTGGCTGCTGTTGATGTTGATTCTCCACCTCCTGAAGGTCTGACACCACCATTTTTGCACAAGGTTATGTACTTTCTGTTTTCCTCATTGTTTTAGTCATTTATTGCTTTGTAACAAATCACCCCAAAACATCAGCAGCTTAAAACAACATGATCATTTTATTAACAGCTTAGGTAATTCTTGCTCATGCTCTTTCATATAGTTGTAGTCAGATGGTGACTGGGGCTGGGATCGTCTAGAAGTCTTCTTCCCGTCTAGTGGCTGATGCTGGCTGTTAGCTGGGACCTTAGCTGGAATAGTGAACTGCAACAGCTATAGGTGTCCTGTCCATGTGGCCTGGGCTTCCTTTTAACAGGAATGGCAGCTGTCTGGGAATTGGAGGGTATCTCAGATTTGTTTAAATAATGGGACTTGGAGAAGTGCGGAGGATTGGTGGGCCTTTTTCTTGTTGGATGTCTGTCCTGGTCCCTTCCCAGAGTCTGTCAGAGAGCAGGTGCATGATACTTGTCATTGAGTGAACAAGAAGTTCAGGACAGATGGACTTTCCCGGGTTCCGCCTTACTGATGTGCCCAACTGGGGCCATATTGATGGGCGAGGCTATTCATAGCTGTGGGCCATGTCACACTATATTTGATTTTTTTTTTTAAGTTTTTTATTTGGAAATAATTTCAAACTTTAACAGAAAAGTTGCAAGAATAAAAATGGTATAAAGACACTTAGATTCCCTTTACTCAGATTCACCTTTTGTTAACATTTTGTTCCGTTTGCTGTCTCCATGTATATCCATGGTATTTTTTTTCCGAACCGATTGAGAATAAGTTGCGTCTGTCATGGCCCTCTGCCCCTAAGTACTTGGATGTGTATTACCTAAGAGTTCTCTTAAAGAACCACAGGACAGTTATCAGTCAGTTAACACTAGTGCAGTACTTTAATCTGTCTATATTCCAATTTTATCATTTGACCCAAAAGTGTCTTATTTTTTAAATAGCTTTATCGAGGTATAATTGACCTAGGGTAAATGGCACATATTTAAAATGTAAATTTGATAAGTTGTAACATAGGTATGCACTTGTGAAACCATCACCACAATCAAGATAATAAGCATATCCATCACTACCCAAAGTTTCCTAGTGCTTTTATAAAACCTTCCCTCCTCCCAGCCCTTCCTCCTCATCCCCAGTGGTCTGCTTTTTGTCACTATAGATTAGTTTGCATTTTTTAGAGTTTCATATAAATGGAAACATACTCTGTGTGCTTTTTGGTCTGGCTGTTCTCATTCCACATAGTTATTTTGAGATTCATCCATGTGTTGTGTGTATCATAGTTTATTTCATTTTATTGCTGAATAGTATTCCATTTGTAAAAACTGGCATGAGGATAGTGTCTGACCTCCTCTAGCTTCACAAGGGGGAAGGAGAGTCAAGATCAATAGCCCAAGCCTGATTCCTATGAGGTGGGGGTCAGACATGCCTGAGGTGGGCATGAGACATGCCTCCTCTCTCTGCCGTCTTTACCAATTCTGACACCAGTTGTCCCTCCCACAGCACTCTCTCCTTCTCTGCTGGGTTCTGTAATTCATTGCAGTGGCCACACACAAGTCACAGACAATACTCACAATTATGGGGTTTATTAGGGTAGTAACAGGTTACAATTCAGGTTCAGAAACACTCAGGGATATAGTTCTTCCATCAGGACAGACTCTTCCCAGCCGTGCTCACAGGCATGCCTCTTCCTGGCTCTTGGCCTCTGCTTAAAGGCACTCAGCTTTCTTTCTCTGTGGCCCAGGAAGCCCACCATGCTGTCTCCTGCTGCCTGGTCTTGCTTGCCACCACTTCTCACCGTCTTTAGGTTAGGTTTACAGCTCGCTTGCTCTCTCCTGGGTCTAGGAGCTTCTCAGTGCAGGAATCCCGGGTCCAAAAGACACACTGGCTCTTCATTCTTTGTGGTGGTGGTATCTTCCCTTTCCCACCTCTGGGGTGGCTCATTTCAAACTGAGCAGGATGGCAAAACTGACCCAGTCCCTTTGGGTGGGAGTAACAAGACCGTGGCTAGAAAGCCACACAAAAGTGATCCATCACGCCGCACCATTCTGTGGATAAACCACAATTTAATTATTCATTCATTCGTTGATGGGCCTTTAGGTTTTTTCCACTTTTTGATGATTATGAATAAAGTTGCTACAGACATTCTCACAGAGGTCTTTATGTGGACATATGTTTTTATTTCTCTTGGGTATATAGTTACGAATGGGCTTGCTGGGTCATCTAGTTAACTGTGTTTAGCATTTTGACAGTCTGCCAAGCTGTTATAAAGACATTAGATTCATACTTCACATCATACACAAAAATAAACTTAATATGAGTCAGACCTAAATGTAAAACTAAAACTATAAAGCTTATAGGAGAAAACATAGCAAAAAAAATCTTTGTGACCTTGAGTTACGCAAAGATTTCTTTGATACGGTGCTGAAGGCATGATCCATAAAAGAAAAAGAAGAAATAAAAAACCTGATAAGTGGATATCATCAAAATTAATAACTTCTGTTCTTCAGTAGATACTGTTAAGAGAGTGGAAGGACAAGTTTTTGAATATTTGCCTGTCTGATGAGTGAGAGATGGTATCTTAATATAATTTTAATTTGTGTTTCTCATTATGAATGAAGTTGAACATCCTTCGTATGTATATGGACCATTTTGATAGCTTTTTTTATGAGTTACTGTTGTTCTTTTGCCCATTTTCCTATAGAATTTTTGGCCTTGTTCTCCCCTTAGTTTTAAAACGTTCTTTTTCTGTTAGGATATTAGCTCTTTATTTGTGATGCATGTTGCATATATTCTCTCCCAGGTTGTCATTGGTCTTAGCTTATATTTTTAGCCATACAAGAAGTGTTTTATTTTTAAGGAGTGAAATTTATCAGTCTTTCCTATTACTGCATCTGGATTTTGAGTTCTAGTTAGAAGGCCTTTCTCTACACCCAGGCACTCATATTGTTTGATTTTTTTTGTGTTTAGATCCCTGATCTATTTGGAGTTAGTCCTTGTTTACCAAACCTGTTGCCGTCAAGTCACTTCCGACTCATAGTGACCCTATGGGGCAGAGTAGAACTGCCCCATAGGGTTTCCAAGGAGTGGCTGGTGGATTCATACTGCTGACCTTTTGGTTAGCAGCTGAGCTCTTAACCACTGCGCCACCAGGGGTCCATTTCCTTGTGTACATACCTAGTTTTATCTTTTTCGAAGTGGCTGTCTAGGGTCGCTCTGAGTTGGAATCGACTCGATGGCACACAACAACAACAGCAACCTTACGTGCTTGTTATAACACTGTTAGTAAGACCGTATTTGCCCCAATAATTTTAAATACCACCTTTAACGTATACTAGATTTCTGTGTATAGTTGGGTCTGTTTCTGGACTTTTAATATTATTTTATTGAATTGTCTGTTTATGTGTGTCGGGGGCTGACTTGGTAGCAGTTAACAATAACAACCACCACCACACAGTTTTAATTACAGAGACTGTAGTATGCAGTGCTTCAGTATCTGGTACTAATCTCCCTTCATAACTCATTGTCATTATTTTTCTAGATATTCTTGCATGTTTAGTTTTTCAAATGTACTTTAGTGTCAATTTGTCCAGCTCCATAAAAAAGTACTTTTACTGGGATTGCATCTGACATCTTGACAAAGTTGAGATGTCCTAACCGAGAACAAGGGATGTTCAAGTCTTCTTTTGCAACTTTTAGGAATTATAGTTTTCTTCATAAAGGTTTTGAATGTTTCTTGTTAAGTTTATTCCTAAGTGTTTCATCGTTTTCATGGCTACTGTAAACAGGGTTTTCACATCCGTTATTTCTTCTGTTGAGTTATTTGTGGATATGGAGGCTAGTGATTTTTGCATGTTAATTTTTATATCCTGACACTTTGGTCAGTTCTTAGATTGTACGGGTTGATTTTATCATTGATTCTCTAGAACTTCCTGGGCATATTCTCACAGCAGCAGCAAATGGAGATAGTTTTGCTTCTTTTCCACTTCTGCCTGTAATTATTTTGTCTAGTCCAATTGCATTGGCTAATACTTCGGCAGAATGTTAAATAGTAGTAGAGACAGGAGGCATCTTGGCTTTGTTCCTGACATTAGTGGGAATGCCTTCAGTTCATCCTCATTAAGTTAAATGCTGGCTTTAGCACTGAGGTGTGATATTTAAATTTTTAAACCTGTAATCTTAGGACAGTTTGATTTGAGGAATGGGAGGAAGATGTTCTCACTCCACTACCCCCCTCACCCGCCCCTAGCTCTGAATGGAAATGGGAACTGAAATCTGATAGGGAAGGGAGAGTGGGGCTTCCTGCTCCCTCTCCCTCCGTCAACATCACACTCTACTTCCCTATCAAACATCCATATTGCTTTTCTGAGGTGCATTAACTCATTTTGGAGTGGTGGAGCATGTTGTCCCCATTGCATGTCTGTTCTTCCATGCAGATTGATCCCCTAGGTGAGGGGAAAGGCAGCTCTTTCCTAAGAGAGCTGGAGCCAGCCTCCTGGTCTCCCTCCTCCCTAACCTGTTCAGGTGTTCCTGCCCTACACATTTCTCTACCCCCTGGGGGTGTGGAATTACATACCTTTGTGGTGATGGTTCTCTCTCTCTCCTCTCCTTAGGTGCATGGCTGCGTCCTGATCCCAAAGCCCAGAGGAAGCTTCCCTAGAAGGGTAGGCAAGTGAGCCAGGTGTACAGAGGGCAGCCCAGAGCCCTACCCTTGCCCCTGCCCTCCCCTGTGGGGGCCAGGATGCTGAAGAAGCAGTCTGCAGGGATTGTGCTGTGGGGCGCTATCCTCTTTGTGGCCTGGAACGCCCTGCTCCTCCTCTTCTTCTGGACACGTCCAGCACCTGGGAGGCCCCCCTCAGACAGTGCTCTTGATGATGACCCCGCCAGTCTCACTCGTGAGGTGATCCGCCTGGCCCAGGACGCTGAGGTAGAGTTGGAACGTCAGCGGGGTCTGTTGCAGCAGATCAGGGAGCACCATGCTCAGTGGAGGCAGCGGTTGAGAGTACCCACTGCGGCCCCTCCTGCCCCACCACGTGTGCCTGCGACTCCGCCACCAGCAGTGATCCCCATCCTGGTCATCGCCTGTGACCGCAGTACTGTCCGGCGCTGCCTGGACAAGCTGCTGCATTATAGGCCCTCGGCTGAGCATTTCCCCATCATTGTCAGCCAGGACTGTGGGCACGAGGAGACAGCCCAGGTCATAGCCTCCTACGGCAGTGCCATCACACACATCCGGCAACCTGACCTGAGCAGCATTGCTGTGCCACCTGACCACCGCAAATTCCAGGGCTACTATAAGATTGCACGGCACTACCACTGGGCGCTAGGCCAGATCTTCCACAGGTTCAAGTTCTCAGCAGCTGTGGTGGTTGAGGATGACCTGGAGGTGGCACCAGACTTCTTTGAGTACTTCCAGGCCACCTACCCGCTGCTGAGGGCTGATCCCTCACTCTGGTGTGTGTCTGCCTGGAATGATAACGGCAAGGAACAGATGGTAGATTCAAGCAAGCCCGAGCTGCTCTACCGAACGGACTTTTTCCCTGGCCTGGGCTGGCTGCTGTTGGCTGAGCTCTGGGCTGAGTTGGAGCCCAAGTGGCCCAAGGCCTTCTGGGATGACTGGATGCGCAGGCCAGAGCAGCGACAGGGGCGGGCCTGTGTGCGGCCTGAAATCTCGAGAACGATGACCTTTGGCCGCAAAGGTGTCAGCCATGGACAGTTCTTTGACCAGCACCTCAAGTTCATCAAGCTGAACCAGCACTTTGTGCACTTCACCCAGCTGGACTTGTCCTACCTGCAGCAGGAGACCTACGATCGGGATTTCCTTGCACGTGTCTACGGTGCTCCCCAGCTACAGGTGGAGAATGTGAGGACCAATGAGAGGAAGGAGCTAGGGGAGGTGCGGGTGCAGTACACGAGCAGGGACAGCTTCAAGGCCTTTGCCAAGGCCCTGGGCGTCATGGATGACCTCAAGTCAGGTGTCCCCAGGGCTGGCTACCGGGGCATTGTCAGCTTCCTGTTCCGGGGCCGCCGCGTCCACCTGGCACCCCCGCAGACCTGGGATGGCTATGATCCTAGCTGGAATTAGTCTGCCTGCCTGTCCTTCCTGGGCCCCTTCCCTTGCCATATCACAGGTGGAGACAGGACTGCAGTCCCCGAGCCATGTCATCCTGTGTATATGTCTCCCTCTTGGGACTGTTTTCTTTTTAGAGTGGCATTCGAGTGCAAGATGATAGGGTGAGGGTGGTTCTCCCATTCTCAAGAGGGGTCAGATCAGGGGACTCTTTCTAGGTTACGTTGGGAGGTATTAGGCAAGAAACCACTGTGTGGTAGAGGGAGACTTGGGCTTGCTAGGACCAGAGACTTCCATGTCCAGAGTTTTCTCCTAGGGCATCTGCAGAGAGGTTGACAACTTTAGCTCTCTTGATCAGGCCTCCTCTCCCCTGCTCTGGCTCTTCCATGAGCCCTCCCCCTGTACCTTCCCTGTCTTCCCCCAATGCAGGGGAGCTGGGTTATGTGAGAAAGGGACGTACTTGTGGCCAAAATGAGACTAACCAAAGGGGTTTCACCATCGCGAGTTGGGGTGGAGTTGTTACCTGTTAGGGTTTACCACCACCTCCTCTTGTTTCTCTTCTTTATCTTGGGTGCTTTTCCCATCTTATCCCTGTCACCTCTTCTCATTTCTTCTTCCTGGCAGCCCAGCAATTTGTGATTCTAAGATGAAAAACTGAAGGGGAAAAGCAAGATCTCTCCTCAGCTCCTCACCAGCTGTTGGGGGTAAAGGTGGTGGAAGGAAAGCCTCAGTTGTGGCTGGGGAAACCCCCTCCCTCATCTTTGCTCAAAGTGACAGACTCTAGTCTCATGCTCCCCCTCCCCCACACATCGATGCCTTCCCTGTCACTTTAGGAAGGTTCTGTGCTGGCTTGTTGAAAGAGAGAATTAGCTCCGAGCACCTTCTTCCCCTGGGATTCGGTGCACAAGCTCCTCCCTGAGGGCTGTGGCTTCTGATTGTCTTCTCTTCCTCAGTGCGAGGTGAATAGTTAAGACCAGGACCACTCTGGCCCTGTGCCAGCCCCTGCCCCAGGCCCTCTCCCCCCATGCATTCCCATATCCTGACAGGTTAGGATGCAGATGGTAGGTTGGAGAGGAATTTGTGTGCTTTTGTTTCTTGCCTGACCTCAATTTCATGGAAGAAAGCTGAAGCTACAGAATTATTTTCAAAAATAAAGTAAAGGCTAAATTGTCTGAAAAACATTTGTGTGTGTATATGTCTTGGAAAAAAGGAGGGGGTGGAAAAAGAAGTGAAGGGTAGGGGAGGAAAGGAAGGGAAAATGAGGTTTGTAAACTAAAGGAAAGGGCTGGAAAGGCAAGAGGAAGTGGACAAGTTGAAGGAAGGAAGGCAGAATGGAAGGGAAGATTGGGAAGGGAGAAAACCATGGAACAACTGGGGAGGGATCTGAGCGTGAAAGAAAGACCATGCTTGAAGGTGGAGAGCACCTGAATTGCTAAACTTCCCTAAAGGTGGGCTTACGGGGCTCTCAGCAGGATGGTCAATGAGCCCACTTCCTGGAAGCTGAGCGGGCCTGGCCTGTGAGAGAACTCATATAGTCTAAACCTGGTCAGTCCTCATGGGGTGTGTGCCTTTGCGGGGAACCATCTGCTGGCTCAGGCAGCGTTTACTGGACACCCATGAGCTCCGAATGTGTACCTGATACCCAGGTAGGCGTTAGACTTTTGACTGTATCCCTGATGAAACGCCTTTTTGTTACTGCCATCTAGAACACACACACGCCTACGTATATAACAAGCAAATGTTTTCTGAAACTACCTATATCATGTGCAGTGCATTCTGATAGTTTTCACTTTACACTAATTTATTTTTTAAAAAATGCTAGTTGAAATGCAGCATTTTTTCGTTAGTGGGTTTGAAAACCTCGGACTACGTGACTGTTGACAGAAACAATTCCAGAGCTTCACAGCGTGGGTGAGCTCTGTCAGGAGGAGGGTGGCTGGGGGGGCCTCACTTCTCCCAGTGCTCAGGAATGCAGGTTGTGATAGAGGACATTTTTGTGGAGCCTTCCCTTGTTGCTCATAGATGGATTATTTAGACTCCTATTTTGAGTAGGGAGTTGATCCTTGTCCATGATCCCCAGATAATGAAACAGACCCGGAGAAAAGCCTGAGACATGACTCCTGACAGTTGAGCCAAAGTACCTGGTCTGCCAGATTCCATGCTTTTAGCCCTTTATTTAACAATCCCTTACCAAGTGCCTTAATACTAACTCATTTAAAGCTCAAAGCAATCCTGGGAGGTAAGTGTAACTATTGCTCCTGTTTTACAAGTGAGGAAAACAACCAGTTCACTTGCTCAAGGTCACAGAACTGTTTGGGGGTGGAGCCAGGATTTGACTCTAGGCTCTTTGATTCTTCAATCCATGCTGTTAATCACAATGTGATGCTGTGACTATTCCCGTCTAGCCTTTACTCCCTTTCTCCAAAGTCCTTCCCTCCTGCCCTCCCAGCTTCACTGATGCTTCTGGGCTCTCCTTCAGTCTGCAGGGCTTTGGGTGGTGCTGCACAGTGAGGCCAAGCAGTGGAGGGAGGCTGCTGCAGGACTGGTGGGCTGGGCTGGAGCAGCCTCCTGGGAGAGTTTGTGGAGGAGGAGGCCTGTAGGGCTTGGGGACCTGTTGGCGGCCAGGAGGACACTCTTAGAAGATAGAGGCCTGGTTGCTCAGATTTCTCCTGAAGCCAAGAAGCACTTTCAAGGGTTTCTTAATGTCTTGTTTCTCTTCCTTCTGATGCGTGTTCCCAGAGAGGCCACATTCAGCACGTCAAGGCAGCCTCGGGTGTAGTTCCTGCTTATGTGGCTGCCACCTCTTAGGAACCAGGACTCTCTTGTGGATAAGAAAGCAAGAAATAAAATGTCAAGTGTAAAAGCATTAAACACTGAAGCATTCTGCTAACCTTGAGTTTGCAGATTTAAAGATAATTCCAAAAAGATCAACCGGTCATCAACAATTCTATGTGAGGTGGGCCCTAACTGAAATGGCCATTTGTCCACTGGCACAGCCCTGCCAGACTTTAATTCCCTCTGTCACTGTGGTGGCATAGGGTGTCTCAGAGGCTCTACAGAGGCCCCACAGGGAACTCAGTGCTCTTGTGGGCACAGCAGTGGCTCTGGGGCCAGCCCACCACTCTTCTGCCTTGCTGCTTCTGCTGCTGTGTTTCTGAGTTTGCCTCTAAGGATGACAAATGCTCCTTTCCTTTTCCATCTCCTGCCATTCCCCGACTCTGCTCTTGTTTCAACTTTCTTGTATCTGAGGAATTCAGGATGGCTATTTCTGCCTTCCCTCTGGAAGTGTCTTGGCCGTTGCCCTCTCTTATCTGGGTCACTGATGGGATCTTATTTGTGGGCTGTCACTCCCAGTAATGTGTTGCTTGGTCATTGCCTTCTTTTATCTGGGTCACTGATGGGATCTTATTTGTGTGGTGAGTCACTCCCAGTAATGTGTTGGGTGGAAGCCTTCAGAACTCTGCCAGAGCTTGTTGAGGGGACCCTGAGGCAAAGGCGGGCCAGCCTTAAGGGAAGGCCAGGAAGGTGGCATGTGGTGGGTTTTTGTGTTAGATACAACATTCCTTTTAAAATAAAAGATACCATTTACTCCTCTTTTTTTCCTCATTACAAAAACAATACATGTTCATTTTAGAAAATTCCAGTTGGTTCCGACTTATAGCAACCCTATGCACCACAGAACGAAACACTGCCCAGTCCTGCGCCATGCTCACAATTGTTGTTAGGCTTGAGTCCATTGTTGCAGCGATCATGTCAATCCATCTCATTGAGGGTCTTCCTCCTTTTTGCTGACCCTGTACTTTACCAAGCATGGTGTCCTTCTCCAGGGACTGATCCCTCATGACAACATGTCCAAAGTATGGAAGATGTAGTCTTGCCATACTTCCTTCTAAGGAGAATTCTGGTTGAACTTCTTCCAAGACAGATTTGTTCTTTCTTTTGGCAGTCCATGGTATATTCAATATTCTTTACCAGCACCAGAATACAAAGGCATCAATTCTTCTGTCTTCCTTATTCATTGTCCAGCTTTCACATGCATATGATGCGATTGAAAATACCATGGCTTGGGTCAGGTGCACCTTAGTCTTCAAGGTGACACCTTTGCTTTTCAACACTTTAAAGAGGTCTTTTGCAGCAGATTTGTCCAATGCAATGCATCTTTTGATTTCCTGACTGCTGCTTCCATGGGTGTTGATGGTGGATCCAAGTAAAATGAAATCCTTGACAACTTCAATCTTTTCTTTGTTTATCATGATGTTGCTTATTGGTCCAGTTGTGAGGACTTTTGTTTTCTTTATGTTAAGGTGTAATCCATACTGAAGGCTGTGGTCTTTGATCTTCACCAATAAGTGCTTCAAGTCCTCTTCACTTTCAGCAAGCAAGGTTGTGTCATCTGCACATCGCAGGTTGTTAATGAGTCTTCCTCTAATCCTGATGCCCCTTTCTTCTTCATATAGTCCAGCTATTCGGATTATTTGCTCAGCATACAGACTGAATAGGTATGGTGAAAGGATGCAACCCTGATGCACACCTTTCCTGACTTTAAATCACGCAGTATCCCCTTGTTCTGTTCGAACAACTGCCTCTCGATCTGTGTACAGGTTCCTCATGAGCACAATTAAGTGGTCTGAAATTCCCGTTCTTCGCAACATTATCCATAATTTGTTATGATCCACACAATTGAATGCCTTTGAATAGTCAATAAAACACAGGTAGACATCTTTCTGGTATTGTCTGCTTTCAGCCAGGATCCATCTGACATCAGCAATGATATCCCTGGTTCCACGTCCTCTTCTGAAACCAGACTGAACTTCTGGCAGTTTCCCGTTGACATAATGCTGCAGCTGCTTTTGAATGATCTTTAGCAAAATTTTACTTGCGTGTGATATTAATTAGAATACAGAAAATGTAATCATAAAAACAGTCACATTTCCACCCCCCAATCTCTGTTGACAACTTGGTGTATACCCTTTCAGGCTTTATATATATGTGTGTGTGTTGTTGTTAGGTGCCTTGGAGCTGGTTCTGACTCATAGTGACTCTGTGTACAACAGTGTTGCCAGGTGGAAACCCCAGGTTCTGGTCGGTACTACTAGTCTCAGGCAATAAATGAAAGAAAGACCAAGGTGGGAGAGTGGAAAGCCGCCTTTATTTCATTGCTCAAGGAAAGGAAACAGTCGGGGCTGTGAGGACTAGGGGGAGGGTTACTTTTAAGGGGTTTACAAGTAGGAAGTTCATACAAGTTATATCAGCAATATTCTTAATCATACTACGCGGGTGCAATGGGGTTTACATATAATTTCATGCATTGTGTGTTCAGAAAATGGTGGTTAAACTCCAACTAGAGGTGGGAAAGTTACAATGTATGAGGTCTAAAAGGTTATCCTGAATGTCAACATGGTGCCTAAACTGGTTTCCACCAATGTCGTCTAGTTTGGGGGCAGCAGTTAAAGAGAGGGGAACCAGGATTCTAATGTAAAGCTACGGGGCTTGCCAAGCAAGCTGCTTGAGGCAGTGGAATTTTCTGCAGCCTGAGGACCTCTGTCTTAACAGAAGGAAACACTGCTTGGTCCTGCGCCATCCTCACAATCTTTGTGCTTGTTGCAGCCACTGTGTCAATCCATCTTGTTGAGGGTTGTCGTGGATTGAATTGTGTCCCCCAAAAATATCTCTCAACTTGGGTAGGTCATGATTCCCAGTATTGTATGATTGTCTACCATTTTTATCATCTGATGTGATTTCTCTATGTGTTGTAAATGCTATCACTATGATGTGATAAGATGGATTAGTGGCGGTTATATTGATGAGTTCTACAAGATTAGATAGTGTCCTAAGCCAATCTCTTCTGAGATATAAAAGAGAGAAGTGAGCAGATAGAGGGGAAAACTCATACCACCAAGAAAGCAGTGCTGGGAGCAGAGCGTGTACTTTGGACCTGAAGTTCCTGCGCAGAGAAACTCCCAGACCAAGGAAAGATTAATGACATGGACCTTCCTCCAGAGCCTACAGCGAAAGCATTCCCTTGGAGCTGACGCCCTGAATTTGGACTTGTAGCC